GGCGCTCAAGGTTTCGCCCCTCCCCCCCAGCCACGGTCTCAGCTAGTAGGTGCCTGGCTGGACGGGCCCTGTGCCTGTGCCCTTGCTACTGTCGTAGCCCTGGCTCCTCTCCCCACAGCTGGCCTGAGCAGGACCCCGCCAGCTCCAGAGGCAGCAGAGGAGCCTCCCGTGCCCAGCCAGGGGCCCCGAGCTGGCCACAGCACACAGGGCTTGTCCGCGTGTCTTGCAGGTGATATCACTGTGGAAGGGCTGGACAAGGAGCGACAGCTGCAGACCGGGGAGATTGTCATCATTGTGACTGTGCTGCTCATGTGGGCAGGTGAGGAGCGGGGAGGGGCTGGCCACAGCCTTCCAGCCCCTCTGGATCCCAGGCGGGGGCTGGGCTGGAGGGGCCAGGAGACGCAGCGGGCTGGGGAAAAGGGGTGGTGGATGCGGGGCAGATGTAAAATATCTTGACGTTGGTAAAGTTCCGACACCGTCCTCAGCCACATTCTCATAAACAAAGTAGGGAACTGTGGGTGGGAAGCAGGTGCAGGAAAGGCTGCCAGAATCATTGTCCCTGGTTCGCCCCCCAGGGTCAGTCCTGGGTCTAGCACTAGGCAGCGGTTTCGTTAGCGACCTGTGGAACGGGGCGGAGAGGCGGGGGGTTGCCTAGCTCAGAGAGCTGGTGAGGCGGGGCCCATAGGCAAGGGTGACGAGGTGTTATTTCCTCGTCATGTGTCCACTGCCAATGGGCTGGTGAGCGGGTTCAGAAGAAAGTGACGTGGCCAGTGTGGGTCCGTGCACAGGCTCCGTGCCGAGAACACAGCCGCATGCTTGCGGGGCTGGAGCAGCTGCACTCGCAATAGCATGGTGGAGCGCCTGGCTGGACACGGAGCGCAGACCCAGGGTTTGGGATTCCAGTGCCCCTGCACGGCAGCGGCCACGCGGCTGTTTTTAGCTCTGCCCAGCTGCAGTGCGGACACCCTGCTGGAGGCCTGGAACAGCCTGTGAGTGAAGCCCACCCCACTCAGGTTCCCAAAGAGAAGCTGAGAGGGGAGGGCCCCTTAGGAGGCCTACGCAGGCACTAGCTGGCAGGGGTTCAGCGAGGGGCGGGGGTATGTTCATGGGGTGCTTGCTTGGGGGGCTCTGTGCTGGGCCCAGTGGCCTGCTAGGCAAGGCCGAGAGCTGCTTAACGAGGCTTTGATCCATAAATTCTAAGCTCCCATCAGCCTTAACCAGGGGTCAGGAGGACCAGGGCTCGCTCCTAAGGGTATGTCTACACTACCCCCCTAGTTCGAACTGGGGGGGTAATGTATGCATACCGAACTTGCAAATGAAGCCCGGGATTTGAATTTCCCAGGCTTCATTTGCATAAAGCCGGCTGGCGCCATTATTAAATGCCGGCTAGTTCGGACCCCGTGCCGCGCAGCTACACGCGGCACGGACTAGCTAGTTCGGATTAGGCTTCCTACGGCTACACGCGGTACGGACTAGCTAGTTCGGATTAGGCTTCCTACGGCTACACGCGGTACGGACTAGCTAGTTCGGATTAGGCTTCCTACGGCTACACGCGGTACGGACTAGCTAGTTCGGATTAGGCTTCCTACGGCTACACGCGGTACGGACTAGCTAGTTCGGATTAGGCTTCCTACGGCTACACGCGGTACGGACTAGCTAGTTCGGATTAGGCTTCCTACGGCTACACGCGGTACGGACTAGCTAGTTCGGATTAGGCTTCCTACGGCTACACGCGGTACGGACTAGCTAGTTCGGATTAGGCTTCCTACGGCTACACGCGGTACGGACTAGCTAGTTCGGATTAGGCTTCCTACGGCTACACGCGGTACGGACTAGCTAGTTCGGATTAGGCTTCCTACGGCTACACGCGGTACGGACTAGCTAGTTCGGATTAGGCTTCCTACGGCTACACGCGGTACGGACTAGCTAGTTCGGATTAGGCTTCCTACGGCTACACGCGGTACGGACTAGCTAGTTCGGATTAGGCTTCCTACGGCTACACGCGGTACGGACTAGCTAGTTCGGATTAGGCTTCCTACGGCTACACGCGGTACGGACTAGCTAGTTCGGATTAGGCTTCCTACGGCTACACGCGGTACGGACTAGCTAGTTCGGATTAGGCTTCCTACGGCTACACGCGGTACGGACTAGCTAGTTCGGATTAGGCTTCCTACGGCTACACGCGGTACGGACTAGCTAGTTCGGATTAGGCTTCCTACGGCTACACGCGGTACGGACTAGCTAGTTCGGATTAGGCTTCCTACGGCTACACGCGGTACGGACTAGCTAGTTCGGATTAGGCTTCCTACGGCTACACGCGGTACGGACTAGCTAGTTCGGATTAGGCTTCCTACGGCTACACGCGGTACGGACTAGCTAGTTCGGATTAGGCTTCCTACGGCTACACGCGGTACGGACTAGCTAGTTCGGATTAGGCTTCCTACGGCTACACGCGGTACGGACTAGCTAGTTCGGATTAGGCTTCCTACGGCTACACGCGGTACGGACTAGCTAGTTCGGATTAGGCTTCCTACGGCTACACGCGGTACGGACTAGCTAGTTCGGATTAGGCTTCCTACGGCTACACGCGGTACGGACTAGCTAGTTCGGATTAGGCTTCCTACGGCTACACGCGGTACGGACTAGCTAGTTCGGATTAGGCTTCCTACGGCTACACGCGGTACGGACTAGCTAGTTCGGATTAGGCTTCCTACGGCTACACGCGGTACGGACTAGCTAGTTCGGATTAGGCTTCCTACGGCTACACGCGGTACGGACTAGCTAGTTCGGATTAGGCTTCCTACGGCTACACGCGGTACGGACTAGCTAGTTCGGATTAGGCTTCCTACGGCTACACGCGGTACGGACTAGCTAGTTCGGATTAGGCTTCCTACGGCTACACGCGGTACGGACTAGCTAGTTCGGATTAGGCTTCCTACGGCTACACGCGGTACGGACTAGCTAGTTCGGATTAGGCTTCCTACGGCTACACGCGGTACGGACTAGCTAGTTCGGATTAGGCTTCCTACGGCTACACGCGGTACGGACTAGCTAGTTCGGATTAGGCTTCCTACGGCTACACGCGGTACGGACTAGCTAGTTCGGATTAGGCTTCCTACGGCTACACGCGGTACGGACTAGCTAGTTCGGATTAGGCTTCCTACGGCTACACGCGGTACGGACTAGCTAGTTCGGATTAGGCTTCCTACGGCTACACGCGGTACGGACTAGCTAGTTCGGATTAGGCTTCCTACGGCTACACGCGGTACGGACTAGCTAGTTCGGATTAGGCTTCCTACGGCTACACGCGGTACGGACTAGCTAGTTCGGATTAGGCTTCCTACGGCTACACGCGGTACGGACTAGCTAGTTCGGATTAGGCTTCCTACGGCTACACGCGGTACGGACTAGCTAGTTCGGATTAGGCTTCCTACGGCTACACGCGGTACGGACTAGCTAGTTCGGATTAGGCTTCCTACGGCTACACGCGGTACGGACTAGCTAGTTCGGATTAGGCTTCCTACGGCTACACGCGGTACGGACTAGCTAGTTCGGATTAGGCTTCCTACGGCTACACGCGGTACGGACTAGCTAGTTCGGATTAGGCTTCCTACGGCTACACGCGGTACGGACTAGCTAGTTCGGATTAGGCTTCCTACGGCTACACGCGGTACGGACTAGCTAGTTCGGATTAGGCTTCCTACGGCTACACGCGGTACGGACTAGCTAGTTCGGATTAGGCTTCCTACGGCTACACGCGGTACGGACTAGCTAGTTCGGATTAGGCTTCCTACGGCTACACGCGGTACGGACTAGCTAGTTCGGATTAGGCTTCCTACGGCTACACGCGGTACGGACTAGCTAGTTCGGATTAGGCTTCCTACGGCTACACGCGGTACGGACTAGCTGGACTAGCTAGTTCCGATTAGGCTTCCTAATCCAAACTAGCTGTACACCTCATTCCACGAGCAACATAGGGATTTGGTCTGACTCAGTACGGCCGTTCTTATGGCACTGGGGACACCCCCTCACATTAGATCTGTTCACGCGGCATGGACTAGCTAGTTCAGATTAGGCTTCCTAATCCAAACTAGCTGTACACCTCATTCCACGAGCAACATAGGGATTTGGTCTGACTCAGTACGGCCGTTCTTATGGCACTGGGGACACCCCCTCACATTAGATCTGTTTGCCCTGCAGCAGTGATTGCGCTCTTCTGCAGACAGTACGACATTATCAAGGACAACGACTCCAACAACAACAAGGAAAAGACCAAGCCGTCCTCAGAGCACAGCACCCCAGAGCGACCCACAGGGGGGCTACTACGCACCAAGGTAACTGGGGCCGATTACTGGGGGGGTGACTGTGCGAGGCACTGGGGGATGGGTCTGAGTGTGCAAGGCACTGAGGAATGGGGGGTGTGCATAGACAGTAGGGTACTCCAAGGTAAACTGAGGCACACATCCTCACAATATTATGGAGAACTTCCCTATGCTGCATGCCCTGTCCGCTGGCCTCAGCATCCTCCAGCAGCAGAGGGCAGGAGCAGGCAGCAGAGCTAGGTCTCTGGGCACATGGCCCAGCCACGCTTGCATGGCACCTGTGGTGTCAGCAGTACCCCGCACTCTGAGGGGTCTCCTGAGCTGGAGGAGTTGGGGGGGCCTCAGGCTCAGCAGGGAGGGGAGGGCTCTGAGGGGTCTCGTGAGCCGGAGGGGTTGGGGGGGCCTCAGGCAGAGCAGGGAGTTAAGGGATGGGCAGGCCCCTCTGGGACTCACACAACACTGCACAGGGGCACCATATGGGGCTTGTTGTCAGTGAGGCTGCCAGGCCCAAGGGCAGGGCTCTGTCCCTGCACCCTGCCGGGGCTCCTGACACGAGTGTGACACAGACGGCGCTGGCTCAGCAAGCCCAGGCCCAGAGATCAGGAAACAGGTTGGCTGCCTTGTCCCCAAAGCTCCAGCAAGTACCAAAAATGCCATTTGCTTGTTCCCCGAGGGGCCCTGTGGTGGAGACTCAGACTCCTTGGGGTTTGTTCAGTCTGCAGAGGAGTAGAGTGAGGAGGTATTTGAGAGCAGCCTTCAGCTCAATTACCAGAAGGGGGTTCCAGAGAGGCTGTTCTCAGCGGGGCAGGTGGCAGAACAAGGAGCAATGGGCTCAAGTTACAGTGCGGAGGTCTAGGTTGGATATTAGGAAAAACTATTTCACTAGGAGGGTGGGGAAGCACTGGGCTGGGTTCCCTAGGGCGATGGTGGAGTCTCCATCCCAAGTCCCGGCTTGACCAAGCCCTGGCTGGGACGATTGAGTTGGGGCTGGTCCTGCTGTGGGCAGGGGGCTGGACTCGGTGGCTCCTGAGGTTTCTGCTGGCCCTGGGAGTCTGTGATTGTAGGACAAGGAACAGGGATTGTCTCTTTGTACAGTCATGGGCAGTACCTCAGCCTCCTGGGACTTTGGACTCCCCCCGTTCTAGGCATGGGGCAATGAGGCCCTTGGGGGCTGACAGTTCCGTAGCTTAATGAATTTCAGCGAGCGTGGAAGGCGCACAGCTCTGTAAGCAGAGGGATGGCGAGCTTCGTCTCCGGCCACAAGCACGCTCACATCCGCTCCTCCTCTGAGTGCCAGGGACCAGCTGGCCTGACCTCCCTCTGGCCCCAGACCCACTCAGGACTGGCATCCGGCTAACTGGCCTAGAGTTACCCGTGGCGCCTGCTCGCCCTTCTGAAGGTTGGCACGGCCCCGGCCTCTGCCTGCCACTTGGCAGCTCTGCAGTGGGCAGCAGCCAGAGAGCTTGTCAGCCACACCTCTCTGTACTTGGGTTATGGTTCTCGCCACCTGCTTATCCCTGGTCGCGGGGGCTAGCCTCCTGCTAGTGGCCTGGAAGAAACTCCCGTCCCATGTTATCCGGCTGTCTCAGGCTTCCGCCTGAAACTCCCAATGGTCCCGGCCCCTCCTGGCAGGGGGTGGCAGCTCTCTCTCGCTCCGGGGAGATCTCCATCTGGGAGGGATCTCGGTCTTGGCCAGCAGGTTTCGAGAGGTGTGGGGATGGCTGAGCTGGTGGGGGGCAGTGGTAGGCAGGGCCAAAGGAAGTAGTTACAGCACGCTGGGAGGGGGGATGTTGGTTATCTGCATTTCTTGCAGGGAGTTCACCAGGAAGTGCTAGTCTCTGCTGAGTCTCAAGGTTGAGAGAGACCTTAAGGAGAGACTAAAGCCAGAGCACAGTCCCGGGAGTGGGGGAAGCTGTCACTTGGCCCATGGGAGGGGGGCTCATGCTCCCCCTCCCAGGCCACGAGTGGCATTCTCTGAAGGGCTCAGTACCCCCAACTGGGACCATGCCCAGCCCAGCAGCTCCCTGGGGCGCAGAGTGCACCGAACCCCTGGGGAATCAGGCCACTAATGTTGGTTTTTCTCTTGCAGAAAAAGTCTCTCTCTGTCAATATCATTGAGGTGTGAGACTCGAGGGCCCTGGAAAGACCGTGGGGTACAAGGGCCACCCCCCGCTGCCGGGGGCCCTCCGCATGCCAAGAATTGTTTATCAGAAACTGCTTTTTCCACGGCCTTGCCCCCAAGGGGATCTGCATGGAGACCACTGGGATGCTGCATGCAGAACAGCCTCACCCCCTGCGTGTAACCAGCCTCCCAGGGCCGTTTGGGAGTCACTGGGGAGCGGGGCACAGCGCCGGCCCACGGAACAAACAGCGCAGCCGGATTTCAGGGTGAGGAATCGTCCCGCTGGTGCTGAGAAGTGGCACCTTGTGTCCCTGTTAGGTAAATGGCAGGGTGGATCTGAGCAAGAGCACAGACTGCACCAGGAACCTGAGGAGGGGCCACGCTCTCACCCAGCGTGCCTGGGACCTCAGAGGGATTTTCTGTTTGTTTCTGGCCCCACAGAAGTGCCCATGTTCCAGCCCCCTAACCCTGCAAGCCCTGCCCTGGGGCCCACGAGGTGAAGCAGGTGCTAGCGTGGGAAGAGACCTGATCGAGCCGGGGAGGCTCCTCAGCTCTCCCTGTAAGGAGTGTGACTGGCAGGGTGGCCCCATGCCCTTGCAGCTGGGGCCCAGGAGGCTGGCTGGGTCCCTGGGCTGCCATCCCTTTCCTTAGTGTCACTGCCACCACCCTGGGTACGAGGTGGGCAGAGGTCTCACGCCAGCCACCCGCTGGGGCAGGGGGGCACACCCAGTGCTCCTAGAAACATACCCCTGCTAGCAGCATTGCCTGCGGGGGCTCCCGGCCACGCTCAGCGCTGGGGGCGGGAGGGAAATCTAGCCCACTGGCTCCAGCATGCAGAAGCTCTGGCCCAGCAGCCCCAGTGAGGCCACATGGAGCCGGAGTCTGGGCACTGGAAACATCCCCCGGCCCCAGAGAAATGTGTCGGAGAGAGAGCATCAGGCTGACTCCCCACACCCCCGAAGGGCACAAGCCCCAACGCAAATGCCTCCGGCCCCTCTGCTCCACCAGGCAAAGGGTTCAGTGCAGGACTCTGCCCCTGCCCCCTCCAGGACAAAGCCTTCCCCATAGGGCCTGCCCATCCCCCCACCCTGCCCCCTCCAGGACAAAGCCTTCCCCATAGGGCCTGCCCATCCCCCCACTCTGCCCCCTCCAGGACAAAGCCTTCCCCATAGGGCCTGCCCATCCCCCCACTCTGCCCCCTCCAGGACAAAGCCTTCCCCATAGGGCCTGCCCATCCCCCCACTCTGCCCCCTCCAGGACAAAGCCTTCCCCATAGGGCCTGCCCATCCCCCCACTCTGCCCCCTCCAGGACAAAGCCTTCCCCATAGGGCCTGCCCATCCCCCCACTCTGCCCCCTCCAGGACAAAGCCTTCCCCATAGGGCCTGCCCATCCCCCCACTCTGCCCCCTCCAGGACAAAGCCTTCCCCATAGGGCCTGCCCATCCCCCCACTCTGCCCCCTCCAGGACAAAGCCTTCCCCATAGGGCCTGCCCATCCCCCCACTCTGCCCCCTCCAGGACAAAGCCTTCCCCATAGGGCCTGCCCATCCCCCCACTCTGCCCCCTCCAGGACCCCCTCCAGGGCAAAGCCTTCCCCATAGGGCCTGCCCATCCCCCCCCCCTGCCCCCTCCAGGACAAAGCCTTCCCCATAGGGCCTGCCCCAGTCCCCCCACTCTGCCCCCTCCAGGACAAAGCCTTCCCCATAGGGCCTGGCCCAGTCCCCCCACTCTGCCAAGGCCTCCCCTAGCATTTCTAACCCTGGCCTCGACGGGGACACAGCAGTCTTGCCCTGATTGCAGGGGTTAATGCTGGCCCATGGAGCGTGCCAGGGTAGTTTCTTTACACACCAATGCCTGGCCTAGAGGGGGTTTATCTCCAGCCGCGGGGAGATGCTGCCCCAGGCTCTGCCTGCTCTGTAGGAGGCAACGGCACCAGGCTGCTGGAGCCTTCCCCCTCCCTCACACACAAGGAAATGTGCACCACAGCCCACCTGCCAGAGCTCTCCCTCCTGCCCTACAGCCTCTGCACCACCTCTGCAGCCTCAGGTGCTCCAGACCCCACCGTTTCCAGTGGCCAACTGCCTGGGGCGCTGGCAGGCCTCTGGGGACCCTCTAGCTCTGCCAGCACAGGGCAGGGTGAGGTGCAGTAGACACATCACAACCCGCCCCCACGTGCTCACAGAGCCCAGCTCAGCCTGTGGTCCAGCTCTCCCCCAGTGGGGGGGCGGGGGGGGGGCAGGGACCTCTGCCCCAGGGTTGCCAGATGTTCGGTTTTCCCCCAGACTGTCCATTATTCGGGGGCCCGTCTGGTAAAAAAAGGAAGTACCAGGCACATGGAATGTCTGCTATTTCCTGTTTCCCTCGGACAGAAGCCCAGTGGGGACAATTTTCCCCTGCCACATTTGGTGGGGGGTGGGGGAGTGAGGAGCATGGGGCCATCTGAAGGTGCAGCACCCCCCACCTTTTTTTTTTTGGCTCAACAACTTTGGTCTTCCCCTCCCCTTTTTTTTGCTCACCAGAATTTTTCCTTTTTTTTGGGGGGGGGGGGTTGGTATTTTTTGTTAAACCATCTGGCAACCCTACTTAGCCCAACAGGGTTACGGCCTTGCTCCCTGCTGCTCTTGTGTGGCTGCAGCAGTTGGTCCTTCTCCCCCCAGAGCAGGCAGAGTCCCTGGCCCCGGCTCCACGGGAGAGGGAGTGTCTGCTGGGAAGGAGCTGACCCTAGCAATTCGCAGCTACCAAGTCTCTGTGCTGTACAGCCAGGCCAGTCTGCCCAGGTGTCTGCTGCTTGCTGCCCATCAGCCACGCAAGCGTTCAGGGCAGAGCCACCCCGGGCGGTTAAAGCCAAACTCTCCTGTTACGCCCAAGCCCCAGGGTCCATGTGGCGTCACTGTGGAGCGAATTCCGTCATTCGGAACCAGCATCGCTCCTAGTCAGAGGCAGACGCCAAACCAACCCCAGTGCCTCTCCCCCGCATCGACCTTCTGCCCTCAGAAGAGATCAGTGCTAGCAGCCTCTGCTGGAGGAATGACCGGTCTGTAGCCTGGGTCCTGCTCCCTCAGGGGCCAGGATGCTGCCTGTGCAGCCCCAGGATGGAAGAGACTCACAGGATCCAGCGTCTTCCAGGAACTGAATCTGCAAGCAAAGCACTTTCAGGACTCTGCTCCAGGGGCTGCTCAGCTCCAGCTCCAGGGCAAGCGTCTTTGTGGAGCAGGGTCTTTTCAATAAAAGTCTGGCTCAAAGGCAGAAGAGTGCCTCGGGTGTGCCATGATACACGCTCAGTGCCTGCGGGCCAGCTGCCCGGGTGGGGGGACAGACCCATTAGCACAGGACGGGAGGGTGCTGGAGGCCTGGGCAGGGGAACAGAGGCGACAGGGAGAGCCCTGGAGAGTTTTATGAGAGGCAGGGACAATGGCAGAATGGGGGACAGCAAGCAGACAGACAGCAGACCCACTGCCGGGGGCAAGGGGACCAGACTCTGAACGCCTGCTCTGCTTCTCTCACGGCGGCGCCCAGACCTGCTGCTGGAGCCCAGAGACCATGCTGTTCCTGGAGGAGTCTCTAGATAGACGGTCTCTCTCCCCCCTGTCCCCAAGCACTGTCGGGTGACATGCCACCTGTCAGGCCCACAAGAAGCTGGCACTCCACCCTCATTTGGTAGGACAAAGGGTGCTGGAATCTCCTAGCTAGCCCAGCACTTGCTGTCCCAACCTATCCCCTCCCCAGGAACTCGCCAGGCTGGGCCCCTACTGGAAGCTGCGGCTGGGGCTGTGCCAGGTCCTCTCCCCCATGGGTTCCACTGCACTACAGGGCCTAGTAGTGGGAGAACCAGCCTCTGTCTTTGCAGCTCCATGGCCCTGGCCAGGCTGCCAGACCACAGGCACGTGGCAGAACAGGGAAGTGGAGCTGGAAGCGGAAAAGGGAACAGCAAAGGCCTCGTTCGCACCCCAGATGGAGTCAGAAAATGGCAGCGAGGTCTAAGCTGTAGGATCCAGGCCCAGAGAAACCCGTGTGGGCTGCTCTCCACATGGGTCAGGAGCAAGGCTGGCCCCTCTGTGTGGGCAGAGGGGATGGAAGGGCTGACAGGCTCCTGCTGGGACACCAGGCACAGCAGCTTATGCCAAGTGAAAGTGCAGGGCTGGGCATGAGCCTGTGTCCTGGAAGGGGGGGGGGGTGGCTCCTGGACCTCCCCCTGCCCTGAGGCAGCTGCTGCAGCATTCACCTGCTCGCTTGCTCTCGAACTGGGCAGGTGGTGGCCTCTGCTTCCACAGCCCTGCCGTTTCGGAACTGGACCTTTATTAACTCCGGGCATCTGAAGAAGTGGGCTGTGGCCACGAAAGCTCACGATCCCCCTACACATTGTGTTGATCTTTACGGTGCTGCCAGACTATTTGTTGTTTCAGTTTTTCCAGTCACAGCCTAACTCGGCTCCCCCCTGAAGCAGAAGAAGAGGTAAGGGGACCTGCCATCTCTTAGTCTCACCTCAGAGAGTCAGTGCCTAGGGGTATGGCTGAGGGCAGGGATCTTCTCCTGCGGCCTCCTTGCTTATCTTTGTCCCAGGGTGCCGAGCCATCATCAACTGAAGGTATCAGCCTCACTCAGGCAGCAGGGGATGCAGCTTTCTGACAAGAGCCAGGGCCAAAGGTTCAAAACCCAAACTGAGCTGGCAGCGAGGGGCACGAAGAACCACTGCCTGCTTCCTCCGTAACCCGGCACCCTCAAGAGCTGGGAAATTTGTGCCAGAGGTCACAAGGACAGAGTCAAGCTTACAATGTAAAAAACTCCTTTTATCACATTTTACAAAGGTGATAGTCTCCTTTAAAAATCAAAGGTTTCACCACATGACAGAGTCTGTAGCGAAGGGGGCAGGGACTCCACCTCACAGTCACAAAGGGAGCAAGCAGGGCCTGCAGCTTTGTGCTCGCTTGATTAATGCAATGGGTGCCCTAGAGCCACAGCAAAGGGGGTGTTACCTACCCAGAAGAAAAGTCTAACCCCATTCTTCGGCCTGAAGCAGTGGGCAGCCCTCTGGAGTCTCTGACTCCCTACACAGCAGGAGGGAGGCAGGAAGGACAGAGGTCGTGAAGGGAGCTCAGGGCTGGCTTCAGGAAGTTGCTGGCATGGCAGCTTCCCTGGCACTAGCACAATCGAACCCACCAAAAAGTCAGGGAACCAAACCCCCGGGGCAGAGCAGGGACCCCAAAGGCACAGAGAGCGAGGAGATGCCTCAGGCACAGTGTGGGGAAGAGATGCTCTTGGTGCTGACCGCTCTGAGCTGCAGGCACTGAGAGGGCTCTGACTGGTCAGTCCATTACGGGGATACATCAGTACCGGAAGACTGATGATCGAGCCTCGTTGGCCCACAGAAGCTTTAGCGGAGGGTCCCTTGTGGCAGGTGGGTGTTTGGTCTCCAGTGCCCCAATCCCACTTCATCCTGCTGTGCTGGGGGCAGGCTGGGCGGGGTCCAACTCCTCGGTAAGTGTGTGATGGACGAGTTGCCTTCTGGTGTGGGAGACCCAAAGTCTGAAACACAAAAGGGCATGATCCCAAGAGCTATAAGAGGGTGGCTGGGGCATGGGCCCAAGGGAGAGCAGGAGCCTTCTGGGTTGGGCCTGTGAGTACCCCTTGCTGGTAAGACCCGTGCGCTGGCACCAGACATGTGTTAGGGTTGAAAGTTTTATTCTTTTTATATTTCTTATCTTAGATTTAGTAATGCAAGGCAATATATATCATCTAGTACTCATATATATAGTAGCCCATTGTCTGAGGGCTGTAACGCTGTAATCTAGTACTCATATATATAGTAGCCCATTGTCTGAGGTCTGTAGCGCTGTAACATTACAGACGCGCCTCTGGGGGGGGCGCACTTGCCTCTCGCAGTGGCACTCGGCTGAGTGCTGCACCGCTCAGCTGGGCCGCAGCGGGGGAGCAAGGGGCGGCAA